ACACTTCCATGAGCAAGTATTAAGGGTGATGCGCTTTCTCGTATCTATTACTCGTCACATTAGCACGTGAACGAGAGCTGCGCCCTTAGCCAGCCGGACGATGTGCCTGATGCGGCGCAGGATTTCGTAGGACCGGGGCCCGCTAAATTTTAGGGGTTTTTTTTTTGTTTTACATCCTGTACCTCGGCCGAGACACAAGAGAGGGATAATTTGACCGCATATAATGGTATTAGCGATGGACCCGCAGTTCTGAACCAATAGAAAGTGGCATTTACATGGTTTACGATTAACATGCCTCGGGGGATCTAGAGAAAGTCTTCGATGTGGTGCCCGGAAGCGGTGGTGAGCATAAGGATGTTTTACCGCTATAAGAAGTCAGTAAAGAGTGAAACGATGGGGAATAATAAGGATTAATGGGAAGAAAAAAAGATAAATTATCCATCATGAAATATTCATGTGATGTTTTTTCGATTATTCATTAATTAAAACCTCCGATTTCGAGCTTTATAGCAGAATGTTCCTATTTTTATAATATAATATATTTTTATTCAAAAATGTTTAATGCTATATCTTCTCATGATTAGATGGTGATGTTTGGCCTTCTCAAAGCAGTATCTTCCCCTGTGGCCTACAAACACTAACAAAGAGATAAGGTCATTCCTTTCTCATTTTTCATGTGTTGAATCAATGGATAAGGTTTGACCCTATTTTGTAATCGTATCAAAAAAAGCATATATTTGTAATTAATCTATTATTTATTATAATATGCTCTATCACTTTACATAATTTAAAAAAACCATTAAATAGATTATTAATATATTAATAAGTTGATAAAATTATAAAAATAATATATTTTTATCACGAACGATAAATTAAAAAAAGATATTTCGAAGTTGCACTTAGATTTCTCTCACGGTGAACATCGTTACATAATTATGTCGTCCTCCATCGTTGGTGTGGACGACCCCGATACAACTCGCTTATCTCTATCTGGACAAGTGATAGGTTTCGCATCAAAGGGTGATGTCAGTAGAGTCATCATGTCACTCTCTAGGTCTTCTATTAGGAGAACAAACCCGATTCCTATCTGAATCAAACAGGAGATCATGACTTATTACCATATATACTTATATCATTCTCCTTCTATTTCGACGTCTCTTCTACTAAAACAAGTAATAGGTAGCTTCTTTTTAGCTTCATGTTAAAGGGTGATGTCGATAGAGCCACCATATCATTCTCCATGTCTTCTATAAGAGAACCTGCTCCCTGAGTAGGCCAAATAGGGGATTATCACCTTACACATTTTGTACATTGTTCCGTCGTCTCTCCTATCGAGACAGGCAACAGGTAGCTTCGCGTCAAAGGTTGGTGTCACCAAGCCACCGTATCATTCTCCACATCTTCTGTAAAAGAACAAACTTGCTCCCTGGTCCAAACATGGGATCGTCACGGTGCACTTTCTATACGTTGTTTCCTCCCTCGTTTAGTCGTCTCCTCTCCCCTCCCATGACGACCTCTCTCAGCTTATCAGAACAGAGAGTGAATTCTACGGTTCCCTTTGCATTCCAGTCTTGGGTATTTCTTTACACTAAGACATGGACCCCTGCAAGCTTCCAAGTTCATTCTTTTTGCCTTACTCCTGAAAGGATTGTAGTGACTACAAGATCATCGCAGATACGTCCACAGATGCTTGACAGCATTTGCAGCTCGCTTCGAAGTATCAAACGTTATCTGAACAGTGCATTCGTAGGGCTATTTTTCAGACGATATACGACAAATGGGAAGAACAGAAGAGCTCGGTGTAGTAAATCTATGACAATAATATTTAGGAGCATTACTGATCAAAATTGAAACACTGCGAACTATTGCAATCTGCCACCCATTCTAAAACTTGGGCCGAGCTTAACATCCAGCCTACTTTAGTTGTCTTCCATGAGAACATGAGAAGGAAGAAGATGAGAGAAAAAGAATTCAAAGGAGCGGTGCCAAGTTTCATACACTAATAATGCACACGTCGATTGCATACTTGAACACAAAAGAGAAGGTAAGAAATAATAATAATAATAATAATAATAATAATAATAATAATAATAATAATAATAATAATAATATCATAAATCTCGATTATTTATGATCGATTATACTGATATTTTATTATCAATAATATATTTTTTTTTTATAAAAAATAAAAAAAAATAAAAATCTATTTTGTGTGTAGTATAAATTGTTTCTTGAACATAAACAACTAAGGAAAATAAAACTTCAATTTTTATGTAAGAAGAAGAATATACAAAAAAAAAACCCAAATGGCCAATCCAAGAAAAATAATGTGATGGGTTTCTCCATACATTTTTTATTTATTTTTTTATATTGTACTTTTATTATTTTGATTAATCTTGGGTTTAACTATCGAAGGATCGCATTGGATATATTAACGCACTTTCATTTGATATATCGATCATTGTATTGTATGCTATCTATCTTAAAAAATATTCACTTAAAACGAACTACCTATGTTAGAATTTAAACCAACATTGCATCGGATTTAATCAATAAATCTAACATAATTATATTTTTAATAAATAATTTTTTTTGATACTATCACATATAAGATAAATCTTCTCTTGTGCAAGATGCTAAGAAGATGCATCAATATATGATTAAAAAATGAGAGAATAATGAAAACAAGAAGAATAAATATTTATGATGAAAATTAATCTTTCATTCGGTGAGCAAATCAGTAAATGTTTTGGTTCTTAATGACATTTATCAAATATCAATTTGCATGAAAATATAAAAAGCATTAACATAAAGAAGAGATAAAAAAAAACAAATAACATAATTTTTTTCTTTTACGCAATACAAATAGTTTATATGAAAAAATACTAAGATTAATTGATCTATCGAATTCGTTTGATTCAAATTATTGATCAAAATATTTAAATTAATTTTAATAATAATATACTTCTCAGATTAATATAAATCAATCTTAATTTTATTCATTTCTGATGTGAGATAAATTTCGATGTTACAATTATTATCTCTCATTCGGCACGAATGATCTCAATGTATGTAGCTGTCAATATAAATGACATAAATAATGTGTGATCTTGACTTGTTGGTAGGAAACAAACAGACAATACTATTAAAATGGGCTCCCCAAATAATCAACTTCGAATTCAAAATGTCCCAAGTCTCGCTGTCTCGTTCACCTCGACAAAGACAGGGACCAATCACACTCAGTCAAACCAAACATTTCACCATCATAACTCGGCAAAAACTGATGGGAACACATGCTGTTGTTCATACTCAGCCTGTATCAGCTCCCCAAAGTTCAAATGTTTGAGTTGGCGAAGCCTTCTTTTTCTCGAATGAATCGGCTGCACCATCTTGTCGTTTGTCTGCATGGATACAAAACCCATGCAATAATTAATCGGAACATTGTCCAAATTGTCCTGTGCTCAGGGAAACGAAGAAGATGATGTGTGCTTGGTTGGGTGTTTGCTGATGGAGAAGAATAAGAAGAAGAAGCGCGTGCAGGCTATGGCTGCCTTTTCAAATATTCTACAGGAGAGTGACCTGTCCCGGGATGCTTTGGGTGTGGCCTTAAGCACAAATCCCGCACTGTGTTGTCCTTCTTCATCCTTCTTTTGTGCTGCATGCAGTCTACTAAGCATCGACTCATCGGCGCCAATTTTTTGTAGGCGGAACATGTGGGGCTCGCGTAGGAACTTTGTAGCTTTAAATTGATTGACCAAAGCTGACAGGCAATGGGTCTTGGATTTGATTTATATATGTTAGATTTAGATTTTAAATCATGATAATTGGTGTGTGTGTAGGGCTAAATTTGGTTCATGTACACTGAATCACTTGCAGCTGCAAGCATTAAGATCACTGCACCAGAATTGAATTGCCTCATCCAGTACTGATTGCATGACAAGTGTGCATGCATAAAATGTGAAGGAAATCAAGCTAGACATATCAAATAATGGTCAGAATCTATAATAGGAATTAAATCCTCTCCATATGCTAACTAACACTCTCAGTGTGCAGAAAACACTCAGATTCTAAGGCTGTGACTGCTGAAAGCCATCAATGACAGCCTTTTTCCTCTTCCTTTTTTGATGGCGTTCTTCACTCATAACGTGCAAAACCGGCAGCTTAATGCCCGCCCGCATATGCCGCCGCTCGTTGCTTAACACATAAGCAACACTCCGTGTGAGTCTCCACACCGTTCTGTGGCATGGAAACCTCTCGGATCATATATATCTCTTCCTGTGAGCAAGACTCACACGGAGGGCCCATCACGTGGAGCGACGGCGTCAGTGGCGTCCTCCACTCCCCTCGGGTAATTGGGCTAAATGTATGAGGGTAATGTCGTCATTGTATTGAAATATTCGAAGCTCCGGTTTGGTGAAAGAAGTGGGCGAAGTGGGCGGTGGGCCACGTCGTACTCGGGGAGCACATGGGACCTGCCTCGCTCCACTGCCCCTCTAGAGATGATCCTTCAAATACCCATCATCACTTTCCACGTGTCCACTAGAACCAATCATTTCGCCGTCGGATGAACCGTCAGCTGCGTCGAGTCCGGATGTTGCGCAGACGCCGGGCTTTCCTAAAATTGGGCCCCAATTGGTTGACTAATTAAAATTCAGGTGGGTGTGTGGGTTCGGAAGAATCCGAAGGAAAATTACTTTTGCTCTCTCCAACGTTCGACCATAACGGAACCGACGGCACCGCCCGTCATGTCAGCTTCCCGTTGGCATTCCCCGGCTAACGGCGTTAGCGATTTGGAGCCGTACCTTTCCCAACGCTCACGGACGACCGATGTACACCTACCTACCACGTGGTCTCATGTGATTGGAGAAACCGTTGGACTTCCCATTGGAACCCAGGCGGATTCGAGCAAGGTAGGCAACTGCGGGTAAGTCTGAGTGGGTAAGAATAATTTTAACAAGGGGCAAAAGAATAATGAAAAGGTCACTAAATCACAGTCGATATGCGTACTTCCCCCTTCCCTTCCTCCCCCTCTCGCGTCGCTCAATATTCCTATACCTCGATTTTGTCACAAATCTTTCTATTTCTTCAGCAAAATCCGTAGATTTTATGTAGTGTAGCGATCCCAAACTCTCTCGCTTCAGTTCAAGTCCGCGTTTTCCCTTCTATTTCTTTCCCATTTTATGTGATTTCTTGAGACCCTCTTGGTGCTGTTCTTGGTAAAGCAAGTTATTATTCGTCCTTCTTTTGGAATTTCTGTAAGACATTTGATTGTTATGTTCTTGGGAGTTCATCTGAATAATTGATTTTGTTTCTATTTTTCTGCCTTCTTCTCTCTGAATCTTTTCTTTGATGAAACCGGAAATAAGTGTATAGTTGTTGTTGGAAACCTCACAGGCACAAGGAGGAGAGTTTTGTCATCGCAATCTTGCGGCCATGTTCACCGAAGGGCTTGCTCCCGGCGACGTCCGTTGGGTTCGTGAGGTGACCATCGCCAATTTCATCTCTTTCTGCGATCTCCTCAACGTTGATGATTTTGTGCTGATTTTGGTACAATGTTTAGGGCCTCTCGTCTGCCACGAGCGCGCAGCACCGAATTGACCCCCTCCGCGGCCTCCGGAATGGCGGGCGGGGGCTCGGGATCCCACCGCCGGAGAAATTTCGCAGCGGGCACTTGCCGCTGGGCGCGATCCCGATGTCTCGCACCCTCCCGACTCGCGATGGTAGCGAGTCCGGCTCCGACATGGATGAGTCATCCGATACCGAGGTGGAGACCTACGGTCGGCACTCTGCCGATTCGTCCCCCCAGGATGAGATCTCGGGTCAGAGATTCCCGGGTGGAGCGTTCCCAGCAGCTGGAATTGGCAATCGGTATGCTGGTCTGGGATCAGTTCAGCATTATTACTCTAGTGATGGGTACTCAGACATTAGCTCGTCAGTGGATACCATTCGGAAACAGGCACCGCAGATGAGGAAGCCAGTTCATTCTAACGGCTATATGAAAGAGGAGGATGAGGAAGATGGGCTGTCGGATTCTGGAGGGAGCTCAGATTTCTCAAGTCAGATAGAGAGGCAGAATGACAGTGTCAATGCATCTTTGAGAGGCGAGAGCTCTTCACGTAATGTCCCCTTGAGAGGACCTGCAAATGACAATGCAGAAACCATTGGTGTGCCTTCAAAAGTAGGCTACAGTGCCCATAGTTACACTCACGAAGCTTCTTCCAGGGAAGGTCTGAATGTGGTGCCAAATAAGTTTGATGTAGCTTCACGGGGTGTTTATCATGCAAAGAGCTATTCCAGCCATGCTCCCTTTGGTGATGACACGACAGATGCGGTTTGCCTCCTTTCTTTCTTTTATTTCAGTTCTCAGTGATTGTCAATTATATCAATTATAATGTTGAAAATTAATTAGCTATAAGCTGAACAAGAATGTGCAGCTGTATCTGCTGGGAAAATTTGTTAGTTTGTTGATAGCATGTTCTTTCTGAAGACCTTATATTAATTACTGAAGACCAGACTGTATACGAAAGTAGACACAAAATGAGATCCCCGATGTTTTATAGAAGTGAGTTGGTCTAGTTATCAAATTGCACACGAAATGTGCAAAAAGAGTGAAATCTTCCTTGATATGATTTCCTTCAACAACAGAAACATAAGAAGAATATGACATAACTTTGCTCTCAGATACTTAAGAATAGATTCAAGACTCACTTCCCTGACTGGCCTTGAATTAATGTTAATCTAGTATGACCTATGCAACATGGGTTTAGTGGGAACAGGAGCCTTATCTATCTTTTCATCACTAGAACTTACAATGTAAAGTGCCTTGTGCACTTTTTTTGTTCTTTGACATGGGTATTACTGCCATTCATTTATCTAACCTTGTTTTTTGTCTTGTTTTCATTATCTATTTTACCAAATATTTGTTTGCAAGCTCACTTTATTTTGCTAGGTGTTTAAGTTATTCTTCAGTTGTACCATCATACAAACTTTTATGATTTCAGTCAGTTGTATCTTCAGATGTCGATGGATGTCTTTTTTGGCTAATATATGACATGAAGCGGTAACTTCTTCCAAATTCTCTACAATTGCTCAACTTGGAAGTAATGTAGTGTCTGTGATAATCTTGATTCTATTTTTCTGTTGTGTCCATGTTCTCATTCAATTTTTATGTGTTTGTCTCCATCTGCTGTGAACAAGAAAATATTTATTTGATTGCTTTCATTCTATTAATTGTTGCAGGGTGGTCTGTCTGATGTTCCAAGTGCTCCTCCAATTCATTGTTATGATCAGGACACAGCTGATGCTCCAGATCAAATGGCGGCTGCAAGACCTTGTGCTGCTCCTCATCCTTCTGCTGGAAATGGTTCAACTGTAATGAAGGAGTCAACTCGGAGTGGTAATGCCAGATTCAATATGCCTGAACAGAACACCAGGTCTTTAAATACTCTTAACCGTTAATATTTGTTCCATAGAAATACACATCTGATCTAATATATGTTTATCATGAATTCGAAAAAATCAGTCTGCCACAAAGGAGCACTTCAAATCCAGAAGCTGCTAAATCCTCTAGCTTATTACCTGCTCGTATTCCAACTTTTCATGCAAGGTATACCAATTTGCCATGCTATTAATATTATTTCTATTGTGGATTTATGAATTTGTAATGACAAAGAATGTCCGAAATATGGTTAATGAGTTTTTGCTAAATTGTTATTCTTCTATCATAATGTTCTATGTAGTATGAACTTTTAAACTCACTTGAAAATTGATTTTAGTGTTCAAGGGCCTTGGTATTCTGTCATTGCTTATGATGCATGTGTTCGGCTATGCCTTCATTCATGGGCCAGAGGTTGCATAGAAGCTCCCATTTTCTTGGACAATGAATGCACGCTTCTGCGAGATGCATTTAGGTGAGCCTGTTGCAATTTTTAGTGCTTTGAAGATGTTCTGTGTTATGATTATATAGAAATCCTGCATTCTAGTTCCATCAGGTGTTTCCATTAACAGGAAAGACATGCAATATGAAATAGGCATTCAGAACTGCTTATTATAATAAAAAATTTATTTATTATATTTGGATTACTGTCTTTACGTATAGCTTCACTGATCACGAAGGATAATTGTTGGAATTGGATTTGCATTGACATCTCAAAAGTCAAAAATATGATAAGCAAGACAAGCTGACAGGTTACAGGAGCGAGATAGGATATTATATAAGATATTTGTTTTGGATTGGATAAGAGAGGAAAAAACTGATCAAAAGTTAAAATTAAAGTTGTAGTAATAGATTAGTTAAATTGGAAAATCAGCATGCATAAAAGAAGAAATTGAGGGAAGAGAAAGAGAAGAATGACTGGACTCTCCACCTAACTTAAATAAATATTTCTTTTGATTCGTCATTTAGAAAACCTGTTGTGATAATTTAATAATCAATTACAAAACCTCATGCAATCAGTTTTTAAAGCCGTTATTTATAGATGTCATCTGGACTTAACCTTTAAGTAAACTTAGAATACTTGTGGGTGAATTTCTTTTCTTTTTTTAGAACATATGTGACTCCACAAAGTCTATATAAGGGATCTCTAGAACTTTCTAAAATGATTCTTGATCACTTAAAAAATAAATAAGATTTTTTATGAAAAGTATGACTTTTGTAACAAGTATGTGTCAGTATACAAACCTAGAAGCACCGTCGAACAGTGACAAAATTTTAATGGAAGTGCATGTAGAAAACTGAAAATATATTTTAAAATACAACTCATGATCACTTCCATTGCCTGGATTTTGTCCTTGAGTTCGGAAGGATCATCAAGTCATAATTTGATGAAGTCCAATATCAACAGTAAAATGAGTTTTGACAGATTAGTGAACTTTTTTTTGCAATATGATATCTGCCATTTGTTGCACAGTATTAACTGATTTGTATCAATCTTCACTAAATATCCATACCACAGGACAGAATTGCCAAATTCTTTCTTTAGTTTCTACAAAATTTAATTTAAAGCCAATCATTATCTGATGTGCATTGACCTTTGCTGGGCAAGATTGATATGCTATGATCCTTTTGTTGATGTTGTAGCTTTGTCTGGTGGCCTTTTTGCTGCGTTTTTTCAGTTGAAAAAATTGTATATTATGATTCTGTGTCCTTTGTAGGCCTGTATGTGATTTTTGAATGTGTGGAAATAACCCCAAAAGCTTTTTCTTGTCCATGATTGAACATATCTGATTCAAATAGAAAAGGTCAATCAATCATTTGTACTCCCCAAGTAATGTAAAAAAAAATATGCACAATTTTGCATGAGATTTTGGTAATTTCTGCTTCTAATTATTTTTCCTACATATTGCCACACCATATTTTCTTTGAACCATTTTACCATTTAAAATGAAACTTCTAGATAATGTACTCTTTTGTCACAGCAACTTATGATTAAGACTCAAATTATGCTAAACTCGTTTCTGTGTCATAAACTTTTCTTTGATGTGGGATATATGCATCTATAACAAAAAATTGGACCTTTGAGAATGTGAGAAGTTAATTTAGATTGTTGTGTCAAATCTCTCTCGTTTCTATTGTGCTGTCAGTTTCCTTTTTGTGTGCTGAATGTATTGATTTTGCACAAGAATACCAAATACATTCCTTTTTTATATCTTTGTGTAGCTTGCGCCAAATTTTGCTACAATCAGAGGAAGAGCTTCTGGCAAAACGGTCTCCAGAGCTTGTTAGTGAAGGAGCTGGGCCAAAGCCTAAAAAGATTATAGGCAAGATGAAGGTTCAAGGTGTGAATTTTTGTGTACTTATTTGATGCTTTAAGCTTTTATTTTCTTTGTTGTCTTCTTCAAGGTTTCCTGTGGTTATTGTGTGTGGCAAAAACCTCTGAAGTATGTTCTCTGTGTTGCTTGACATGTAAAGGTAGACATTGCAATTTGATCCATTTTTTTTCTAATGATGTAGTTCGCAAGGTCAGAATGGCACTAGATATGCCTTCTGGATGCAGTTTTTCACCCTTGAGCTTGCCAATGGTCAAACTAGAGTCACTTCAGTACCGTATGTCCAATCTGCAGTCAACTCTCTCATTGGGATGGGAATCACTTCGTAAAGTTCGTGTTATGCCTCGTTTACCAGCCAATAGTTCTTTCTCGAGGCATAGTTTGGCATATATGCATGCTAGTGCTCAGTATATTAAACAAGTTTCTGGCCTACTTAAAACTGGAGTTACTTCTTTGCGCAGTAGCAGTTCATCATATGAAGTAATGCAAGGTTCGTACTTTAACTTCATGTTAATAGGTGAAGTGCTAGCAATACTTACTAATGAATTGTTGGTTATTGCAGAAACATACTCTTGTCAGTTAAAGCTCAAAAGTTCCCCTGAAGGGGAGTGTATTCGAATGCAACCTGGATCGGGTGAAACACATGTCTTGTATGTATCTCTTTTATTGTAATTCATTCATTCTTCAGAAGAAAACATATGTATTTATTAAATTCCTTGCTGAATCACTTAGTTTGCTTCTCTTTGGAACAAGGTCTCCTACCAGTTTTCTATGATATCAATGCAGATACTGAAGTATTTGTGTTCTCTACAGCTTTCCTGATAGCATAGGTGATGATTTAATTGTTGATGTCTATGATTCCAAAGGCAAGTCATGTGGGCGGGTATTGGTCCAAGTTGCTTGCATTGCTGATGATCCTGTATGTGTACCATTTCAAACTAATATACATTTTCCAGCTTTCATAATAATTATCCTCCTGAACCTGTAATTTTCTTTCGCGCAGAGTGACAAACTTCGATGGTGGTCCCTTTATCGTGAACCAGAGCATGAACTTGTAGGCCGAATACAACTACACATAAACTACATGACTAGTCCTGACGAGAACAGTGCTTTAAAGGTATTAAGGCTAGTTATTTCATTAGTAGGTTCTTAGTCGCTCGCAATATCGACAAGATGCATGCTTTTAATGATCAAGAGGATTACTGGTTTTAATGGGTATATAAAATGCTGTTTACAGCTTCCTATAAGTTTTATTTTTAGCAATAAGGGTTAAACAACAAACTTTTTGGTGCATCCTCTTATGCTTGTTGCAAAATCTAGATTTGTAAGTCTATTTCTTTTTCTTCTAAATGCTGCATCGAGTAAAAAGACAACTTCCACACATTAAATTGATAGAGACCCAGCAGTCGATGTTTAAGGGAACTCTAAGACAGACTAAAGCAATTATCCTTAAGGAAAGAAAATGCAAAAGCAACACGTTATCTGTCTGTTATTTGGACTTGCTTTTCCTCATCAGCAACTTTGAAAAATGGTGAGATGACTGGACTAACTTTTCAGAAAATGTGGTTTCTTGGGGTTGAAGAATAAAAAAAAGTAATGTTCATTGCGTTAGTGGTTGAAAACTAATTCAAAAGTCGATCCATGTTATTGGGCGTGGTGTCTTGCTAAGATGCACGTCATCTTTTCCTGCATCCATGTGGTGGAAATGATTAGTTTAGATGTGATGCCAGGACTTTGGTGCCCGGTTGTCTGGGGTATAACGATCTAGAACTTGCTTTGTTCATTGACTTGACTTACATTGTTCTTTTGGTTGCTGAATGCCTTGGTCCTTGATGTTCTTGCATTTTATTATTTCTTTTAGCTACCAAAGATTATGGCTTTTTACATGTATCTTGCAGTGTGGTTCTGTTGCAGAAACAGTTGCATATGATATTGTTCTGGAAGTTGCAATGAAAGCTCAACAATTCCAGCAAAGGAACTTAATGCTGCATGGACCATGGAAATGGTTACTAACAGAATTTGCTTCATATTATGGGGTTTCAGATGCTTACACAAAATTAAGGTACTGAGAGAAATTATTTTCCTGTAAGTTCCAGCTTTGTGGGTTGCAGAAACAGAATACATTTTTTACTTAGGGAACAAATTTTATTCATGATCTGCTGGAGGTCTTAGTGTCAAAGTATTCTCCAAATCAGAATTGGTGTTAAATTCCTGATTTTAGATTTGAACATTTTCAGCAAAGGAACTTGTTATGCATGAATTACGGAAATGATTACCAACACAAGTTGTTTCCTTTCATGGAGTTTTAGATGTGTAGTTGAAACTAAAACAACTGCTGACAGAACAATTTTACTGTTATTACACAATTTTTGTTACATAAGCAAACAAACTTTGCCCAAGGATAAATAAACCTTAAGCCTTGGCTATCGTGATATTACCTGAACAAATTTGGAAAATTAAAAATGGCATACTTTTAGACTTGACATTTTCCACTAATGAATTACTAAATTCCTGCCTTAAACTACTTCAGCAGAGAAGAACTGGCAGGAGGGTAAACCACCAAGCATTCTTATGGACTAGTATGCAGCAAATTTAGAAAGACCGCCTGGAAGGGCAAGGTGAAGGGAGAATAAAGTCTATTCATAGTAATAGCAGCATCTGGACCAGATACAAATTGAAATGTTGTGCATGTTTGAATAGAATATCATTATTTTTCTCTCCCTTCGAGGTGTTGAGGAATTTTCCCAGTTTCTCATGAATTTGCTAATTAGGTAGAAGGAACAATATTCAGTTTGGAAATCTCTAAGTGGATCTTTTACTAGAATCTGTGCTAACTCAGGTTTGTATATTGCCAGGTATCTTTCTTATGTTATGGATGTAGCAACCCCTACAGCTGACTGTCTCACATTGGTTCATGATCTGCTGTTACCTGTGATTCTAAGGAGCCGTAGTAAAAACTCACTAAGTCATCAAGAGGTAATTTGTTTACACAATGCATTTGTCCTTCAGATTTTATCTTTCTCTTGTAACGTTATCTCTAGAATGCATTATCTTTTGAAACGAAATTTGAGCTTTTGGAGTTTCATGCATATCACATGTATTATATTGTTTTAAATAATTTTTGTTCTATCTATTTTTTGGCTTCGAGTTCTTAATTCTCGGACGGAAACAGTATAAATCTTTTACACATTTTTAAATGTTCTAG